TCTCTTTTAGTTTCTTGCAGTAGTGTCTTGTAGTTTTCTCTGTAAAGATCTTTTACATCTCTGGCACAGCTCATATCTGATAGAGCAATTTACCCCATCTTATGAAGACATTAATTTCTAAGATCAATTTGTCAATTCTCCCACCAAAAAACAAAACAAAGCAAAACAATAACCACAAAAGAAAAAAAATTTCATCAAGCTGATTGCGATTGCATTAAATTATTTAGATTATCTTAGAGGAAAATTTACATCTTTATAATGTTGATCAATTTCATATTGGAAGAGAATAAATTCTTCCATTTCATTAGATATTTTTAATGTACTTCAGTAAAATTGCATAGTTTTCTTGCTGTAGTTTTTGCACATTTTTGCAAAGCTTATTTCTAGGTATTCTATCAATTTTCAAGTCATCTGATTTTCTAAGTGCCAGGGTAGTACCCGGGTAAAGGAAATGGACCTACTACACCTTTGGAAACAGGGGAGGGTGGTGATGATGATGATAGCAGACAGAATTTACTATGTTCCAGGCATTGCTCTAAGCCCTTTACCTGCAATTATCTCATTTAATCTTCATGACAACCGTATAAGATAAATACTGTTATTATCCCCATTTTACAAATGAGGAAACAGAGGCACTGAGAGGTTAAGTAAATTCCCCAAGGTCCCATAAGTAGTAGGTGGTTAAGATTGGAATAGAACCCAGGATGTCTGCCTCCAAAGTCTGTGTTTCCAACTATATCACTGTACAAAGGATGTAAAGGAAGCTTTCTCCAAGGCCATGTTTTCGATTTTTCAGTGATTTATCCTGTTAAAAACTTTCTGGCAATACTATATCTTTTAAGGTTTGGAAAACAACCCTTTGGTTTATTTTTCCTCATTTTCACCTACCCTCGTAATCTTCTCCTTGCTACCCTTTTCCTAATCCCTTTTTTTCTTGGAGGCCACCTGGATCAGTATGGATGAACAAATTCACTAGCAGCGTATGGTCTCTTACGGTGTGAGTATACCCTATTTATAGGGAGACCGATGGAAGGTATTTTTACATTTATTGGAAACATCAGGCTTTCTTCCTTTTATTATACTACTATTAATAAATGGGAGCCCTGGTGGTGCAGTGGTTAAGAGTTATGGTGAACTACGGCTGCTAACCAAACTGTGGCAGTTCAAATCCACCAGCCACTCCTTGGAAACTCTATGGGGGCAGTTCTACTCTGTCCTGTAGGGTCACTATGAGTCGGAATCGACTCAACAGCAACAGGTATTAATAAATAAGTTCTGATTTAAGAGAAAGCATTGACACTCTGACATTCCCAACTCCACATGAAACATCAGCTCTTGAGGATGGGACTGAGAGTAGTTTATAAAGCTACAAGTAGCTACTTTAAGAGAGTTTCCCATTCCAGTCATTGAAGATTCCAACACTCTACTCACAGGTGGAAAAAAAAATGTCAGGAACAAAGCTGTGGTTCCTTTTGGGTTTCCATGGGGAAGCTTTTCTTTCAGTTTAAATTGACTTCTACCTGGTTCTAGTTTCCCTGGATCCAGTCTTTTTATGGGAACAGGAAGCTCTGGCTTTTCTTTTGGATAAGTACCCCTCAGGCCTTGTGCTCTCCTTGAGGGTACCATATTTTTTCTTAGTAATTGGTATCCTTTGAAATAAAGGAAGCAAATGAAAGGGCCATCTCTGTTTTCTACAGATGAGACTTAATATAGTAAGTTAGAAAGCATCCTGATCCTTCAGGTCCTCTACGCTAACATATGGTGGAATGGATGTCATGGGCTAGGAAATGAGTTTTTTTTTAAACCACTGCTGGAAGTCCAGGGATCCCTAAAGTATATGCCAAAGCATGGGGGTGGTGAATTGACATTGTTGATGATTAATACCAGCAACTTAGAGTATCTCAGTGAATTGGGAAACTAAGGCACATAGATATTCAAGTGAGTTTCACAAGATCCCACACAGCTGAACCAAGGGCTTCAAATCCTAGCTATTTTATGCTTCCTCTCTAAATTCAGAACTCTTTATTCCACAAACATTTTTTAGCACCTACTATGTTCCAGGCAGTATATCTGGGGATACAGCAGTGAACAAAATGGACATGGTCCTTTCTGCCCTCATGGAATTTCCAGTACATGTTTTGATACATGTCACTGGAGTTAAGTATTCTGGAAGCATGCACAAACAAGATGAGTTTGTTGAAGAAGATAACCATTAAAGAGGGGACTTCTATTAGCAAGGGCATTTCTATGAGTCTCCTAAGGCTGGATTTTTTTCAGACAGGGTTCTTCCTGCCTCCTTCAATGTTTTGTTCAGAAGCCTGTTTCATCATGTAACTGCTACCTTATCTATTTATATGTGCTCTTCTTGTGTTAGACTCACTCTTTTTAAAAAGTTCATTTTGTATTTTTATATGATTATTAAAGTATTACATTGTATGTTCATCATGGGAAATTTAGAAAATAGAGGAAAGTAGAAAAAAGGATAATACTGGTTTAAAACCTTCTTACAAAAAAGATATTTGGGATTATTTTCATTTTCTTTCTATACATGCTATTTGTTTGCATAGCTATGATCATGTGATCATACCGGGGCCCTCAAGTCTCACCTGTCATCTCCCTGGACCTCTGGGTTTAAGTACAGCCTTCACCACCACCATTGACTGCCTGTTTTTTCTGTTCCTTGTTTTTTTTTTTTTTTTTTCTTACAGCTGTGTTAATGGTCTTTTCCCTGATATCTGTCACCTATGGGGCTACCCTCTGCAATATGTTGGCTATCCAGATCAAGTACGATGAATACAAGATTCGCCTCGGGCCACTAGAAGTCCTCTGCATCACCATCTGGAGGTCATTGGAGATCACTTCCCGCCTAGTGATTCTGGTGCTCTTCTCGGCCACCTTGAAATTGAAGGCTGTGCCCTTTTTATTGCTCAACTTCCTGATCATCCTCTTTGAGCCTTGGGTTAAGTTCTGGAAGAGTGGTGCCCAGATGCCCAGTAACATTGAGAAAAATTTTAGCCGGGTAGGCACCCTGGTGGTGCTGATTTCAGTCACCATCCTCTATGCTGGCATCAACTTCTCTTGCTGGTCAGCTATGCAGTTGAGGTTGGCAGACAGAGAACTTGTTGACAAGGGTCAGAACTGGGGACATATGGGCCTGCACTATAGTGTGAGGTTGGTGGAGAATGTGATCATGGTTTTGGTTTTCAAGTTCTTTGGAGTGAAAGTATTACTGAATTACTGTCATTCCCTGATTGCCTTGCAGCTCATTATTGCTTATCTGATTTCCATTGGCTTCATGCTCCTTTTTTTCCAGTACTTGCATCCATTGCGCTCACTCTTCACCCACAATATAGTGGACTACCTCCACTGTGTCTGCTGCCGCCGACACCCTCAGGGCAGGCCCAAGAAGTTGGAGTCATCCTTTGAGGCTGAAGCAAGGCAAAGCATTGTCTGATTCTACTCTTCTGGGTATTTGGGGATGGGTTGGGGGCTTCCAAGAGCAACTGTGAAATCTAAGGAAAGGATAAGGCTCATGGGTGAGTACCCACCAGGATATTTTCTTGAGTTTTCTGGTAAGCCCATCAGAAGAAAGAACAGCCTCCAAGTAAGTTTTATTTCCTTAAGACTGCTATGCTTGTTCATAATGAGTATCCGCTATGTAGTTGGAGGCATCAGAGATAATTTTTACCACCTTCCCCCAACCGCCATCAGCTCTCTGGCTGCCCTGTGGAATTACCTGCAAGTACCTTAGGCTCACTGTAACTTTCCAGATCTGCTCATTTGCTTGAGACATTACTGAACTTTTCCAGCCTGAGCTGAAGGCCCAGAATCCCACCAGAATACATCCTGACTGATTAGATGATGTGACAGCTTACCAGCTGTGGGAACCTCACAGGGACCAGTCTGACTCATGTAGAACCTGCAACTGTGAGAGTGTCTGGGCCCTTTTAATTCTAAAGAGAAACTCTGCTAAGAGGATGGCCCCCTTATTAAAAGAGCTTCTCCCCAAATGAGTTAGCTCTCCATTAAGATTTTACCAGTGGTCCTTCAGCAAGGACCTCTCCTTTCAGCGCCCTTCATAGGCCCACTCTGGGGTGGGAGTGCAGAATAGGATTCCTTCAGGGCACAAGCCAGAATGACTCTTTTCTCAGGGACCTGCATGAGCCTCCAGCTTGTCGAGTGGAGTGGTGGGGTGAAATCTCTCACTTAGTGCCTCATCAGCAGGGATTCCCTCCAACCCAACTTTTGTTGTGCTCTTGGCATTTTACTGCTTGATGTGGACCTCAGAGAAGCTGAACTGTAATTGCAAGTATTTCTGATGTGTGGAAAAAATGAAGACTGCCTTGTATCTGCTACTGTTCTGAGTATTTTATTTATTTATTTTTAGGGGAGAGAGAAAGTAGTAATGGTTAGGACATCACCTTCATGTTGTTTGGGGTTAGGATGGGTGGCTAACACTCTCAGGTAGAGTGAATGAGGAGGAGGGAAATCAGCCCATATTAAATTACATTGATTCTGGTTTCTGCCCACAGGATTTTACTTTCCAACAAGAAGCCTATGTTTTTCAACCCTCTGCTCATTCACACCCCCCACCCCAGTGGATGAATGTAGGTCTCACGTTCTCATGTATCTTGATGTTTAGATTTCACATTAGCTAGGTATTTTGATGGGAATATTAGCTGGATGCCTTTAAGATAACCAAGGGATCGAAGTTACTATGGCCACTGCCTATTGGGACCGAGTGTCTCAGCCTTTACCTAACTAATGCTTGTCCTTCACAGAGTAGGCAAGTGAGAAGAACTCCTAGTAGCATGCACCAGTTGTGGCCGCCACAATGCTGCAGGAAATTGTGACCAAGCTAACATAAGGCTTCTCACCCCATCCAGCTTTTTTTTTTTTAAATATATAACTTATTTTATTTTTTGTTGTTGTTGAGAATATATACAGCAGAACATAAACCAGTTCAACAATTTCTGCGTGTACAATTCAGTGACATTGATTACATTCTTAAAGTGGTGCAACCATTCTCACTTTCCTTTTCCAATTTTTTCCTCCTCCGTTAACATAGACTCACTGCCCCTAAGTTTCCTATCTATACTTTCAAGTTGCCGTTATCAATTTGATCCTGTAGAGATAGATCTTGAAGGAGCATAATGTTTAAGACAGGCATTATTTACTAGTTAAGCTAAACTAGTATTTGGTTTTAAGAAGGCTTCAGAGGATATTTTTGGTTTAAGGATTAAAGATTATCTGAGGGCTATAGTTTTGGAGCCTCCCTGACTCCAGCAAGTCTGGATTCCATGAGAATATGAAATCCACTCCCATCCAGTTTTACTCTCAGGATCACACTAACAATTGATCTTTAGCCATTTCCCCTTCTCTTATTCAGTATCAGGACACTATGTTGGGGGAGCACCCTCTTCTAAGTAGCAGGGCTGTTGGCCAAGTTTGTCCTATTTCCTGGCACGTCTAGTGTGGTTTTCCCATCCTCAGCCACTGTTTGGGGCTAAAAGGACTGGATAGTTAATTTGGGGGAGAATGATGTGACTTGCTTTGGAGGAGGGGAGATTTCTTTTCTCAACCCCAGCTCCCTCATTCCATTTTTCATGATGAAGAAGAGACTTAGGTTGTTGTCATAAAATGCTCATACTGCTATCTTGTGACCATGTTATTCAAGGTGAATTTGAAAGAAATAATCTATTGGTGACCTCCAGAACAACAAATTGCCTCTTTGGAATTCAAGCAAGAATTTCTCCCCAATGGTCAACATGCCCTCAATTAAGAGCAGAAGCAATGTGGAACTATAATTTGGTCCATAAAAGCCATGTGAATCAGCTACTTAAGGGGCGGGTGCTATGGAAACACGCACAAAGAGAGAGAGAGAGACACTCACCAAGGCAGGCAGGCTAATTAGAGCCAGAGTGGAGATGTACAAGACAGAAAAGGGTACCTCAGTACTGGACAAGGTATATTTTCTCCAACATATCCTCACCAATCTTAGGGACTTAACTTTCTGGGAATGCAAGGAGTTTAGAGAGAAGGGTGTGGAGCAGCTTCTGACCTGAAAAACCTGCTATCCTCACCTGAGGACAAGAGACTAGTGATGTATCATGCAAATAAGCCCTCAGAACCTCCTTTCTGTTCCATAGAATCTTCCAGATACACAGGAGAAGAAGGGATTGTGGAATAAGGTGGTGGGGCAGAGGAAGCACCCCCCCCCCTTTCCGTCTGAAAACACTTCCTTAATCTATTATTCTCTTTTTACTCTCTGAACTTTTAAAGCAACACAGGATACTTGTGTAGGCAAGCTCTTAACTAGGCTATCTTGGTGGCATAGTGGTTAAAGAGTTTGGCTGCTAACCGAAAGGTCAGCAGTTTGAATCCACCAGCTGCTTCTTGGAAACCCTATGGGGCAGTTCTACTCTGTCCTATAGGGTCGCTATGAGTTGGAATCAACTCAGTGGCAATGGGTTTGGTTTTTTGGTAGGTATGGTCAAGTTAACATGTTAGGGAAATGTGTTAAACTAATGGTTATCAATTTCATTCACTCCACAAATACCTTAAAGACTATGGGCATAGAACTGTGAGGCACTGTGGAAGAAAGAAATAATAGCTAATATTTATTATCACTTACTATATGCCTGGCGTGGTACTAGGTGCTTCGTATGCATTATCTCATTCAGTCCTCACAACAACCCTTATGAGGTAAGTACTGTTATTATCCCCCATTTTACAGATGAGGATTCTAAGGCATAGAAGGTTAAGTCATCTGCTCAAGGTCACAGCTAGTGTGAGCCAAGATTCAGGCTCCAGAGATTACACTCTTAATCCTGACACAAGCCTCTAAGCCCTCTTAGACCTTTTGTGAAACGATTTAATATGTTAGTGGTTTCAAGAACATTTTCTGGTCTATGGCTAGGTTCATAACTTTCTTTCCTACAAACACTTCTTATCAGGAGGCACCACTCAATTCACTCTAGAGAGCGAGGGGTCAAGTCCTAAAAAGCCTGGGATGAAAACCGAGTGTGTGCTTACATGTACTTGTAGGTTGGTACTGGTCATGTGTGAGGTGTAGGAGGGTTGGGAGGTGGAAGCAAGGATGATAGAGAAGCCTATTTCCTTTCTAGTTTCAAAACTTTGTCTCCTGTATATTCTTAAACACACCTTCCAAACCCTGGTGGTGGGAAGAAAACTGGAGGGAGAAATTCCCACTCAGGTTTGTATGAACTCTGACCCCAGAAACAACCAATCAGAGCAGGGCGGTGCTGAAACCCATTCTCTCCCACTTCCTCTGCCAGCACTGCTCCTACTCCCGTTAAGAAGGTGACTGCTAGTTCTAGAATAGGCTAGGGGATGTGGACAGTGAAGAATAATGCTCCCCATCAGCTGTCACACTCCTGAGATCCTAGGCCAACCCTCAGTGCTTTATCAGCCATCTCTCTCACACCTGCAGCTCACCAGGTCATGGTCCTTAACATTATAGAGTTTACCTCTACCTCCTGGGGTGAGGTTGAGGGATGAGTGGCTGTAGGGTAGGGTACTCACCAGCATATTCCATTTAAATCCATGGGACTCTGTCTCTAAGAATCCTTTGGTACAAAAGCAGTTGATTCTGGGCCAGAGTAAAAATATTTACCTACCCAAGCATGGGGATCCTAGTTCTCTGAAGCTTTTGCTATTGGACTTTCTTACCATCTTCAGGGGACTCATACGCCCATAATCTTATGCCTTTCTTCCTGAAGGCCTGGGACCATCAGTCACACACTATAGACCATAGAACTTCTGGAGGGTACAGTGAAAGTATGTTATGGGCCTTGGCAACAAAGCATACACCATGTGAAACCGGGAAGTAGCAAGGCCAACTTGTGTGCTACTAAGACCATAATGAGATCTGAGAACTAAGTGTGAAAAGAACACATTTCCATGTACGAAAATAACATCTGAATAGTACTTTATAGTATCCAAGGCGCATTTACATACATTAGTTCAGTTACTGATGCATCATTGCTAGGACAAGCCCCTGTGGATTTGCATTGTTCTAACTTTCAATTCGTCCAACATTATTAAGCTCTTATTTTATGCCAGTAAAAACTATATGGACATCTCAAAGTGCTAGATAGATGCAAAAGGACTCAAAAATGAATCCCAAATTATCTACTGTAACTGAGGTTGGAGATAAACAGGTACTTTCATATATCATTGGTATGAGTGTAAAAACAGGCATATATTTTTGGAGGGCGATTTATTAGTATTTATCAAAATTAAGTGGGCATACTTTTTTGTCTCAGGATTTTAACCTCCAGGAATTTGTCTACAGAAACATAGCCCTCAAGTGAGTATAGAAACATAGCCACAAGTGTGCAAAGAGATTTGTACGGGGATGTTCATTGCAGCACTGTTTGTAATGGTGAAAAATTGGTAACAATTTAAATTTCCATCTACAGGGAAATGGGGAACCCTGGTGGCACAGTGGTTAAGACTTTGGCTGCTAACCAAAAGGTCAGCAGTTCCAATCCACCAGCCGTTCCTTGGAAACCCTATGGGGGCAGTTCTACTCTGTCCTATAGAGTCGCTATGAGTCAGAATTGACTCGAGGGCAGTGGATTTGGTTTTTGGTTTGATGGGGAAATGATTAAATTCTGGCAATTCCATAATTGGAATACCGTCCAACTATTAAGAAGAATGGGGATAGATTCATATTACATGTGCTATGTGAAAAGATACGTGATGAAAGCCAGTTGAACTCAAAATATATAGGATGAGGTTATAAAAAATTATCCAAAATTTGGAAACAAGGGTGCAGTAGGAAGAATGTCACCCCCCCGCCAAGATTTCAAGTCCTAATCCTTAGAACTTGTGAATATGTTATGCTATATACCAAAACCAAACCCATTGACCTCAAGTTGATTCCAATTCACTGAGACCCTATAGGACAGAGTAGAACTGCCCCATAGGGTTTCCAAGGCTGTAAATCTTTTGGAAGCAGATTGCCACATCTTTCTTCTGTGGAGCTCCTGGTGGGTTTGAACTGCCAACCTTCTCATTAGCAGCCAAGCTCTTAACCACTGCATCACCAGGGCTCCAGTATGCTACATAGCAAGGGGGAATTAAGGTTGCTAATCAATTGACATTGAGATGGGGGAGGTTATCGTGGATTATCTTCGTGGGCCTGATACAATTACAAGAGCCTTTATAAGAGAGGAGGTGATGTGAAGATGGAGGCAGAGAGGTTTAAAGATGCTGCATTGCTGGCTTTGAAGATGGAGGAAGGGGCCATGAAACAAAGAATGCAGCTCTAGACACTGGAAAAAGCAAGACAACAGATTCTCCCCTAGAATTTCCAGAGGAAT